TCGCTTCTAGTAACAAGTGCCTTACTAGTAGTAACAAGAAGCTACTATAAACAAGAAGTTCAATAGAATCTAAGTCCATCTCGGTCGTCCCCCGGTCGATCTGGTGCCACCGGTCGTCCACCGGTCACTCCGCGGTCCGGCGGTACCGCGGTCGAGGCACGGCGCCCAACGCTTGGCCGACCCCGAGGACGGCGACCTCGCAGGCGGGCGCCCGGTGCCGGGGATTGGGTGGTTTTGACGATCTTGGATGGGGGTTCTTCTGGTGGTTTTGGTGTTTTTGGTGGTGGTTTCATTTGGTTTTTGCATGCTTCGTTTGAAGTGTGCATTCACTGGAAAAGAATGGCGTAGACGCCGGATAGCGACGAACTCAAACGGAAGCACATCTTTTCCTCTTAGCACACCGAGCCCGTGACACAAGTGGGGAGACAAGGCAGCAGAGGCCAGGCACAGCAATGGCTAACCAAAACGGCCATCACACAGGCAGACAGAAATGTAAGGAGACAAGTGGGGAGACAGCAGCGGCAAACCAAACCAGAATACATGCAGGCACCCAGTCGTTGAGAAGTAAGAACCCCTATAGCTATCGCTATTTGGTGGCACTCAGAGGGTCCAGATGCCGTGCCATATCTGATAGAGGGGTGTGCGCAAGGCTGTGTTCCCGCCACGTGAGCACGAAGCCATGGAGCTTCACTGGCACTTCGATGCGTGACTCCTAGCCAGGCAGGGGAACCAATGCAGCATTACATCAGTCGCAGACGCAGATGGAGAACACTGAGGTACATTGACTCAGTCAGGTCGAAGTGAACGAGCCATCCTCGCGGATCTTCTGTTGGACAACGAGTTGCGCCGTTTTCCACGGGAGGAGAAGTGGATGATCATGAAGCAACACCCCACAGATGATGGTCTTGAAGAGGCAAAGCTCAAGGTTTGACTGGTCATTGTGGGCCACAAGGATGTCGACTGCAACGTTCCTCCACTTCAATACGTCAGGAAAGTGTACAAATCTTGTATCCTTTGTCTAAAATGTAAGGTGTTCCTGGAATGACGTATTACTGTCATGCATCAAGACTTTGCTTTTCCCCAGTCATTTCATTCTTTGATGTTGAACATTTACATTTTGCCCAGGTGTCAGACAGGTTGGTTGAAATTTGCAGGGTAGTTCACAACGATGAATAGAATGTGCCTTCTCTCATGTCAAGCACACCCGCTCTTTTTCGGAGCTGGCGGCATCAAGGTCTCCAAGCAAGGCATGAAGGGTTCCATGCAGAAGAAAACCTGCTGCTCTGAAGAGGATGCATGCAATCAACTCAAACCTTGACGGGTTCGTGAGTTTGCAACCGTAGGTGGGCAATAAGTTGTGCATAAGTAGGCTATACAACTTGCCTTTGTCGACTCGCAAGGAACCAGTATTAGATGCCCATAGCCAGGGGCGGAAGGCATAAAAGCAGAGATACCTGCACCTTTCAAGGGCCACAGAGTCATGTACCCCGTTCCATTGGTGACCCCGGAAGATGGACACACAACCAGAAGCCGTTGTTTCCACAGCTCTGTCCGAAAAAAGCAAGCTTCTCGGTCCATTTCCCCCCAGAGAAACACCTCGGAGGCTACTTGCGCGACACCAACTGGCCGGGCGCCACTAGTTGCGCGATGAGTTCGGGACACCCAGAGACCGGGAACGAGGGCGCAGAAGGCGGAAGGTGTTGCAGATCCTTCCGTCGGCCGGGCTTTCAGTCACCTTTGTTGATCGTGATATGACATGGTGTATGAAACGCCGCCTGGATGTTCTGCAGAGGTCCCAAGCTGACGCAACCTGGTGATCCGAAGGCAAAAAACGCTGCGCGTTTTTTGAGGCCAGTAACAGCTTGATGGTGTCGGCGGCAAGAGACAGGCACCACCAGATCAGGCATCCTATAGGAGCTTCATGAAACGGTCGGGTCAGCCAAGCGCCGTTCCCGCGGCACGCGCGCGCGCGCTGAGGTCATCTTCGTGGCCTGGTGAAGGCTGCGACGGACGGACACGAGCGCCTTGGCGACCTGCGACGGTGCACAGGTGAAAAGAAGAGCAGTTTCCACGTGATGCCAACAGAGGTATCCAGTGACCGTAAATAGGACCCGTAACCTGGGGTACCTATAGGATAGTCTATAGGGTTCTTCAACCTCTGCTGGTGATATCAGTGATATCAGACTATGTGACTATGAACTGGTGAACTGGTGACTAGAGGTGTTGCCTGTGGAGTTGCGACGAGACGAGTTTTATTCATGAGGTTTTTGAAGCTTAGACTCTCCATTTCAAAGCTTTCGTCCCCGGAAATTCCTGGTCTTCATAGGTGTTTGCATCTCAGGTGGAAACCAATGAATAAGGCGTATGCCTTAAGGAAAAACGGTTGCTCAACCAGATCGCCAGATACAACTCGTGCAGAGTCCTTTGATACGAACACCTTTCAAGGAGCGATAAATCTCTCATTGCAGTCGCGGATACCAGATTGAGCTGAGAGGCCACTAGTCCTGTGTTGCATGTGACATGTCGTTTGTCGTGTGTTCCATCATTCAGTGTTCGTTTCGGTCTCGAGTGGCCATAGTCCTCTGCGAACTGTGTTCAAGTTTGGGATTTGAAGGGTGCACCTGAAGTAGGGTGGGAGCATTGCAGGCTAGACCATCCTACCTCGCCAATCTGATCACCGCTCGGCAAAAAAGAAAGAGTGTGGAAGACTCGAATCTGATACCTCGCAGGGCTTAGCTCCAAAAATTTGCCATGTGAATCCATATGTCGCATTCGATTAGTCTTAAAGAGGTGGAATCAATGGAAGATCATCTATAAGTGTGTCTTGGATGTGTGTTTCTCATCGGAGTCTATGGTGAGCAACTCCTCTTCTCTAAGACCCAGGCAACTCTTTTTTGGAGCCGGTAAAACACCCTGTTTTTTCGCACACCGGTGAGAGTCTCGGAAAAAGAGATCAAACAACTGGCTGGCTCCACCAATGAGGGCAGCATACTTATTGGTCGTTTGCACCAATGAGGGAGACCTCCCAGGCGTCGCCCGTCTCCCCCCAGGTTTGCCTTGGTCTTCGAGGACGATGCCGTCATCCCAACCTCCGTGGCCCGAAAAAGGCGCGGCGAACAGGGGGGTTGGCCCAGAGGCGGCCGAAGAATGGAGGAGACCAAGTCGTGTTTTTCATGTCTTTCCTGATGTTTGCTTCTTTGTCTCATTCTCCAATCCCTACGGTGTTCTGTCGCTTTCCTTCTGTGATGGGAAGGGTTTTCTGTGATCATGCATGGGCTCCTACTAAGAAGTTTCGGAATCTTCCACCATCTCATGAAATGATCGCTTCCAAGTTGGCTTCAGGCTTCAGCTGTCCCAAAAGGCCTGGTGTCAGAGGTTTTTCTCCAGGTTGCCCCATCTGGCAGGACCCGTTTTTGCTTTTGAAACGTCTCTCCTGTCCCAGTGAGTCGGAGACAACGGAGACCCACCAGGTTTCTCTCCGTACAGAATGTCCCAGGATCCTGTGAAGTGCATCTTATGACAGATAGGAGTTTACAAACAGCACAACGTTTGGGCCAAACTCCGCTTTGAGGAGTCAGAACCACTCCGCTTGAATCCAAGCTGGCCGTTTGAATAGAACACGGCCCGTCCGTGCAGTCCATGCGTGCCAGGGTTGACTCTTCCATCGAGCAAAATGCTCGACCTACACCGGGTCGGCGAGATCCACGAGTCTTGTAGGGAGTAAGGAATGTTCCTTTTTCTCAGGTGAGAAAAGAATCAGTACTCATGAGATCTCAAGAGCATGGTGATCGGTGATCTGCCAGAATCCTCCAATTGCTCCCCACAGGTGTTTTTTTCCGCGCCACCCCCCCGCAAACATGCAGGTTGAGGGAACCCTGCAAAAAACAACAAAAGAAAAACCCTCCAGCGGGCGGGCGCCAGCGCTGCGTGACGCCCAGGGGTTGGTGTGAGACCTGTCCGGGGAATCTGTGCTTTTGCCCAAGCGCTTGGGCCTTTTGCGTCGCTCGGCTCCGTCGGTGGGGCAGCGCGTCGCTGGGTCCCGGTCTTGGAGCCCGGTGGGCGGCGTAGATGGGTCGTATTGGTAGGTGTTTTGGTCCAAGAGTCCCTCTAGATCCATTTCAGCATCTGTGAGTTTCAGAGAGACCGTGCTTTGAGCAGATGATGTTTTTTGTCCCAACGCGCATGACATCAGAGCAGAGTCCGCCGAAGTGAAGTGATGCATGAAACCTGGCGGGGGGGTGGCCTCAGGCTGATAGACCAGGAATGTCCCCCCTTCTGTGTCACAACAATACCAAAGCGAAGGAACGTCCAAGCCCTCCGAGAGTGTTTCATGAGTTCTTCATTTCTTTGGTCCCATCTTTTGCGTCCCGCCAACAGCACGGACGTGCCCACTACACAGGTTCTATGGGTTTCTTATGTGTTGTGGAACGGCACTCAACGTGCGCAGCAACGTCTCTCGATCCAATGCGCAACAACGCCCAACACTACAGTGCTAATATATCAAAGCTGGTACCCAGTAGTGTCTACCTTTGGTGTTTGCCGCATGGAGGGCGCATTGGGGCGTCGATTTGCGTGAGCTGATTTTCACTTCGGGGCCTTGAAGGTGTTGGACTGTTCTCTGACTGGCGGGTATCTAGCGATTGTACCAATATGAGCAGCTGCCTGGAACAGGACTTAGAGATACTTAGACGATAGCACACCATGGTCAAAAGCCTTCCAGGTGGAAGAAGCGGTGCAGCTCATGAGACGGGCACCTCACCTGGCGCCTTGGAGAAGAAAATGTTGAAGAAGAACAGGGAGTCGAGGCGAAAAAGCGCCTGATGAACAAAAAAATACGGGAGAACGTGTGTTTTGAAAAGGAGAGAGAGAAATTGAGAAACGCCCTCCCCCCGTGTTCTTCCCCGGCTCTTCGGAATCCTGGGGTTCCCCTGTTCTTCCCCAACTCTTGGGAATCCTGGCGTTCCTACTTTTTCCTGGAGTTGAGGCTGTGGTTGAATACCTTAAGGCTGACTTCCCTTCCTCAGAACTTGGTTAGACGGAATGGAGGAGGGCGGGGGGGTCACAGATTCTACAAACGAGTGGTGTGTTGATACCGGACTTTTGGCCTTTCCTGCAGGTTTAGGAGGTGAAAGCCTGGTTGGCATGCTGAAGAAAGAAAGTGGACCCCCCCGCAGAAGACCGCAGAATTTGGAGAAGAATGCCTGCAGTGTCACAGTTGGCAGCCATCCGAACACCAAGAATACAGTAATCTCATTCAAAAGAGAGGTGCTTATTGTCTTCAGCTCCGAACAAGACATATATATATATAGAGATGTTCCAGAAGTCTGATGCACACGAGGAGAAATAGACCCTTTTTGGAGTCCAAACGGCCCGAAGAAGCAGATGGCAGCCCCTCCCTCCACTTGGAGCTTATCGTTCGCCGGAAGCTCCCAGGACTTGCTCTACCTGGGCGTTGGAGAGGCCTTTGAGCCGCATGGACCACATGAAGGGCCTGGAATCCCAGGGCGATCTGGCAGGGAGTGCTGAAAGAGGCCGTTTTCTTCCACGTTCACTGAGACATGATGAGACGTGCAACTCCACATCTTCATGTCTTTTTGAGGCTTCCTGCAATAGACACAGGTTACCCCTGACCCTTTTGAAAATCTACCCACTCAGGTCAAAATTGAAGCATCCAGCGGTCTTGTTTCCTCTCCTTTGAGGTTCTCCTCAGCGAAGGTTTTTTCGATGTGCAACGTAGGGAAGTGGGACGGTCGGATGTTGCTCCCTCCCAGACATACCAGGCCTAAGTCGTCAACTGGGGTGAGAAAAGTAGATGGAGTGGGGCCAGGTTTGGGGTAAAAACAGAGCAACTCACATCAGGTACTGTACAGCTTTGTACAGCTCGCCCAAACCACTGATGCTGAGCTGATGACACACAGTGAAACAGACATCTCTTTTCATCTTGTTTCGCTTCCCATAGAGGTTGAACCCGGCTTGGGTAGGGGCTCCCATAAGCCATATTGGTTGTTTGGGGCTTGCCATCGCAGGATCCTCTCGGACGACAGCGACGAGGAGCTGGGAGGCGGGAGGTCCATCAAGTGGCGCTTCGTTCCGAAGAAGTCAGTGACTAATAGCGATGCCCTTGCTACTAGTAGTAATGCCCTTGTTACTAGTAGTAACTCCCTTGTTACTAGTAGCTTCTTGCTACTATACAACAAGTCTCCATATCCATAGAATCTTTGGAAGAACTTAGAAACCAGTAGTTCGTAAGAGCTTCCAATGGCATGATGCTGCCCCTTCCATGTTCCACAGACACCGGCCAAGTGGCCAAATGAGAGGGAAGTCCTTCTATAGAGATATGCTGACACGAGGAGATTCCATGCGAGAAGACTGCAACGGCTGTTGCAGAGATAGAAGCCGCACGGACCAAAGTCGTTGCCAACAAGTGGGGAAGTAGATAGCAGCACAGTGGACGATGCTTGTGATGACAGGGGATGTGACAGGGAAAAACCGCAGCGCAATGGCTGACCGCTGTGGGCACACTCCGATTGCAGCTCCAGATCAGCGGGTTGGGCCAGGTGAGTAGCCTTTTTCAGCGGCTTCCATGACTGTGACATGGCTGTCAGAGTCCACCCTCCACCTGCAACTGACGGACAAGCCAAGCAGGAATGCCAGCTTAGCCAACACAATGTCGCTTGTTCGACTGCAGGGGATGCTGGCTCAGCTGCCGGGAGGCTGATACCCCCATGCCAGGGTGGAGACTTGCTCCTTTTTCTCGCCTTTTTTCGACCTTCTTTTGTCCTCACCGGCCGCGACCGGTGAAGAGAAGAAGAGATGAGATGAGTGCCACGTGGTGACCGAAGACCGAACACAGCTAAGCTCTCAAACGTCCTTCTTCACACCGCGGAGGGACAGGGATCCCTTTGTCGCCACTGAGATCCACGGGTTGGTCTGTGTCCTCCGTGTCCACTGGGGGTGGGTCGATGTGATGTATGTCCGACTGGGTTCCCGGGTCGAACAAGGAGGGGTGATGACGAGATCACCAGAAGACTTCAAAGTGGGGTTGGAGGTTCTCATCATGTTGAAGCCTTTCATCATACTCGAACAGGTGGCCTATGTTTGAAACATTTTGAAACTGCAGTCCGTTTCAGGCGCGGGTGAAAACTACCCCAATCCCAAGCATTCCTACGGTACAAAAAGCCTGACAGCTTCCCCAGTCATTGGAGCTTCCAAGTTCCTTAGGGGGTTCCCAATATGTCGTGGGACGGGGTTCCCCCGGGAATGGCTTGTCCACCAGTCCGTAGGTAGGTCAAAGGGTCGGTATCCTGCTGCCCTGACCCACAGCCAATATATTCTTCCTTTGTACTTGTAGCCACCGGTTCCAGAAAGCGCTACCATGCGCCACATGGAATCATCATGAATCACGCGCCAGGCATCACCGAGATGGGCTATACCTGGTGCGCGGCTGCCTTGGTCGGAAGGCAAAAGGGAAGAAAGGCCGTGTGACTTGGGACAGGTCACCGGAGAGGGGGGGTCGAAGCACCAAAGTATTGGACCTGACCATGTTCGTCGGTCAAAACGACTTGAAGATACTTGACGTATTCTCTAGAGAACTGTATGATTCGTGTCTTTCGTTGGAGCCCCCCAAAAAGGGCCCAGTTGTCGGGTGCTTCTTCCATCAGTCTTCGATTTCACTCACGATCCACCCCGCTGGACCGGTCTCCGCTGCCTTTAACCACCTGGTTCCCGAGGCCGAAGCCATCCTCTACGCGCGCTCCGCCCTGCAGGACGCAGCGTCTGCTGGAAGAGCGCGGCGCGCCGCCGGTGGCAAGGGTGGGGACGGAGAGAGGTGATGAAGGGTCTTCGGAAGACACGTGGGTCGTCTTTCGGAAGGCCCCCATGAGTTTTCCTATGTTTTCCTGCTCGTCCACGACATAGACCAATAGAGCGGGCAATTGGAGATTACGCGAGATTACCAAGTTGGAATCATGGAAGGGATACTTCAAGGTATCTTCTGTGGTCCTCCCACCTTACTTTTCCACAAAACGAAGGAGTTCGAATGGCATGGCAGGGAGGGGTCGGCTTTCTTTCCGAACGCTTCCACACCTCCGAAAGAAGGAAACCCTTCGTGTAGATCTTCGCATATACGAATGGCCTTGCATGTTGTGGTCCCTACTACCCTTCGAAGCTATACATACCCATGCGAGCGGGTAACAACCTGATCAGGTCCTGGTAGATCCTATATGATCCTTGTTAGAAATGTCCTTGGAGGCCATCGCTACTAGGTTGGAGGCCATCGCTATTAAGCCTTCTCGGAAATGTCCTTCCTTCTCGGGGCTTTTTCTGGAGCGCGTTCGCTTGATGCCAGTGACTTCTCGTCGCTTCATTTGGCTTCGGTCGAAGCCTCTCCGAAGCCTCGCCTCTCGAGGACGTCCTGGCGCTGAAGCTGCATGAGCGTCTCTGGGCACAGGAGTTGTCGATGTTTGCCCGGACACCGCTGCCGTCATGCGCTGCCGTCGACCGCACAAAGAGGAGGTATGAACAGTAAATCACTTGGCACAAAGAGGAGGTACTCACACTTCAGCAGTGTTCATTTCATTGGAACCTCAGAAGGTGCACACGGACTCTCCTGACACCCAGTCCGACGTGGCACCTCACCATGACCGTTTTCGTTGACGTCTTTGGCACTTTGGCGCACCGAAGTCATCCGAAGTCTCTCCAGGACGAGACCATCCCACATCTCTACAGTCGAAAGCCGTGCGGCATCCTGGGCAAGCCGGAAGGAAGGTTCAGCAGGTTTGGGGTGAAAATGTAAGGCCAGGTTACTCGAGGACTGGGTTTGAATCGACATCAAGCATACAACATCACGACGATCTTGAGTAAAAAAGCACCAATTCGTTTTGCACCAAACGAACCGCCGCCATCGTCGCAGGCTGATCGCCTTCATGATCTTCATGTGAGGGTGCTCTGTGTAGAGGGCCAATAATAGCTGGCACTAGCCAGGGAAACCTCCCGTGCACACTCCCCAAAAGAGGTCACTATACTCGTTTTAGGCGGCCTGGCCGGGTGCCACCTACCACCACCCGTGCGGACGGTGTCGTGACCCGTGGGCGCGCGCCGCCACAGGTGGAATCCGCGCTTCATGGAGTCTTTGAAGCAAGTGGGCTTCCAACGGCGCTGGCTGGTTTGGAACTCAAAACGTGCAGCGCGGGCTGGGAGGTTTGATCATGAACAGGTGGAGGTTGTGAAGGAGAAAGTGGGCAACTGCAGCGCTTCGGACTCCTTCTAAAGCTAAAAGGTAGTGGACTGGTCTGGAGGAAGAGCTTGGAACACACGGTCAACGACGAGAATTGGAGGTCCAGAGAAGAGAAGAGAAACCCAATGTTTTTTGGCGGTTGGTCAATGACAATTTGGTCGGAGGGGATTCGATGTTTCGTGCTTTCTCAATTGTGGATGGATGAAGGTGTCGAAAAGGTGTCCACCATGTTGACTGTGGAGCCATGTCTTGTCATGCTAGATTCAAGCAACCATGTTCCACTGGTGAATGTTTACTGATGGTCATTGATGGTCATTCTATGTCCACATGATGCGCTTAATTAGGACACTGCCAGGTATGCATGATGCTCATCCTCCACCTCACAGCTTTTACGTGGGTAGTCACTCTTTCACCCCCCACACCACGGAAGCGCCGAGTCTCTTTGGATCGGTTCAACGGCCGCCCTGAACGCAAGGGTCTTCGCATGCGAAGACCGCGCCCCTGCGTCTTCCATTCGCCATTCATCGGGTCGGGAGCCTCCTTTTTGGAATGACATGGGCCCTCTTCTTTCGGTCCCCCAAATGTGGACGCGCATGGGGTAAATGTTCTCAACCAAACGTGACCGGCTTCTTGGCGAAGGGAAAGCACCCGAGAAATCATGTGAGAAATCACACCGTGAGAGCTGCAGAGCTCCTTTTCGTTTGCAAGGCTGGAGCTCCTGCAGAGGATGTCGAGGAGGGCTGGATTCAACAACTGGAATTCTTCAAAGAAGAGGCGCTTCCTACCCATGCAGTCAGAGGGATAACCACAGATACCCTTACCCTTCAACCGTTTTTGGGAGTGTGTTTCCCCACTAAACAGCAACAGGTGGAAGAACGTTATATAACTTAGGCGAATCCAAGACCCTACAAAACCTAGTTTTCTGTAAACCCCAACAATCACACGTCAGAAATTCCGGCCTTCGGAAATTCAGATATTTAAGAAGCACCAAGCCGAGTTAACAAGCACCATGTTGAAGAATTTCAATAATTAAGACATTGCTAATTTTCGAATGTCCGCCAAACTACGTACAAAAAAGTGAAGTGTGTTCAGAAATGCAGAAATTGATAATTTCCCAAGTTCCACCAAACCATGTAAAAAAGGCAAGTTGTCAGAAATTAAGAAATGGGCTGGGTGTTCTTAATGCTCTAGGTATTTTTTCCTATGCGGAGATATGGGCAGGGGTGCTTTCAGATCGAGGGTGTCTTTTTCTATGCCCTGGGCGCTTTTTTCTGATGCTGCCCGTGTTTTTATCGTAGGCTCGTAGTGCGTTTTCCTATACTGAGAGTTCTTTCTTTTATGCACAGGGTTGCTTTCCTTATGCAGACGGTTCTCTTCTGTATGCTGGGAGGTGTCGATGGTGGCCGTCCAACAGAATCCTTGCTGAAGGGACCCGTCAAACAGAATCCTTGTTCAAGGATCCCCGTCAAACAGATGCCTTGTGAAAGGCGCCCGTCAAACAGAATCCGTGGAAAATCTCCCTATACCAACAGTTCCTTCCTTTATGCACAAGTTGCTTTTCTTGTGCAGACGGTTCCGTTTTGTATGCTGGGAGGTGTTGGCCGAGGTGTAGACGGTGTCCATCAAACAAAATCCTTCTGCAAGAGCACCCGTCAAACAGAATCCTTAATTGGCGACAGACGCTCGTCAAACGGAATCGTCCCCGTCAATCAGCTTTTTCTGGGAAAGTGCGCACGGCAGGAACGGTCACACCCACAAAGTGCGGATTGCTTTCCACGTAAAAAGCACGCGGAGCAAGCGCAAAACTTGTTTGGGGGGATTGAGGACACCCCCCGAAGCATGACCAGATGGAAAGGTAGGTGAACCCTGCGTCAAAGAAAACAGCTCGGGAGTGAACGAAGATAGGTTCTTTCCTTTGCGAGCAAGTCGAGCATCGAGGGGGAATGGTGAGCGGATTACGCATACAGAGCGTCGGTTGTGTCGCCGCAGTGGCCGAGGAAACAAACATGCATAGAGGGAAACTTGTCAGATGTACTGGAACTATGTAAGTGAAAAACGAAAAAGTTCACCAACAACAACAGACGACGTCACAGTAACAGACATGAACTACGCCACGTATATTTTGTATGCAACTATGTATAATCAGTCCAACCACTACTACGGCTACAACCGGTACTCGTATAGGCTACTAGTAGGACCAGTACGACGACGACGCCTACTACTACGACGACGACTAGAAGACGACTACCACGACGACCACGACTACAGTACTCGGTGGAATGTAGCAAACAACACGTTCTGCTGGACGAAGTGTTCCCCATGTTTAGAGTGGAAGTCACAGATGGCGAAGTATGCGTGGCATTCAATTCGGCCGCATTGAGAGCTGTGTACTTTTGAGGAGTGAATTTGGCACACCCAAGCACCGACTCCTCTATTCCTAGAGAATTGGGTGTGCTTCAATGACATTCAGGTTGTGGTAGATGATGATTGGATTTGTTTTTTGTATGTACCAGTCCCAGGGTTCAATGGAGGACGATGGGGAACGCTAAGAGAAATCCATAGCCATTTTGGCTCAAGAAAGTGAGGTGCGGCTTTTGGGCCTGCGCACGATCTTGGGCGGGGCCCCCGTTGGAGAGCCAGTCGCAGTCGCGATGAATTGTGAGTCTATGGAGATTCGGGTCATCACTGGGGGCCAGGACCCCAATGCAACGATCTCAGATTGGTGGACAGCGTCCTACCAACGACGACAAATGCCGAAGGGAGATCGACAGTGGCTGACCACGGGCTCCATGCAATGAAGGAGCTTTTTTTCTTCAGGCAACCCTAGAAGCCCCGGAAACTTCCCAGATCAACTGGACTTTAGAGCAGGGCCGTCTCACGTTGTTCGTGGACTTAGTTAGGCTGCCTTTACAAGGGTGCCTATGATGTGGCGCAGACGATCACATGGGGGCAGCTGGGCACGAGGCCTGCCCGCAAGGCGGGTGTCAATTTTGATTCCTGGCAGAATGTGATCGGTCTGGTGGCCGCCACTCTTCAGAGGGCAGAGAGGGCTCAAAGTTGACTAAGGATCTCTTAGGAGCGCTTAGGGCCCCAGAACTGAAAACAGTTCGATTTTTGCCGCCATAGGGAAACTGTAGCAGGAGCGTGCCGGGTGGCGTAGTGGGCTTCCCTAACAAATGGTCGATCGAAGGATGTCCTCGGTAGGACAGCGGTCTTTTCCACGAGCCCGTCGGCTCAGAGTCCAGCCATGGTCGAAGGCTGAGGTCAAGAAAAGGGGCCCCTTCCTGTGAAAAGGGCGGCGGACATAGAAAACAAGTCTCACACACAACCTGAAGGACGAACGAAAGCTGCACCAGCCTAAAAGGAAAAGTCAGGTTGTGCTGCTTGATCTATGGCTCTCACTGCGGTGTGGCCACTCTTGGCGTTCTTCTTCGCAGCCGTGAAGGAGGGGTCGAAGGCTATGCACCACAAGCGCCTGGCCAGGTACTTTGCAAGACCTGTTCTGCAGTCGGGTCGTTTCTTGGTCATGCTGTCGGCCAAGTCATAGTCGCTTGCTAACCATCTCAGGGAGGTGCCAACCCTCATCATGCTCTCTCTCAATTGCATTGCTTGCAATGCACTTCGGAGATTGCTGAGGCCAAGAAGCGGGCTTTCATTGACCTGAACCGCGTCATACCCTCCTCTTGAATCGCATCGTGATGATGCCACCGGTGGAGTCTCCACCAGGCCGGTTCACGTGTGCCTGGTCTGCGAAGGTGATGATGGAGACATCACGCCAAGTCTTGGCCTTCTTCAGCTTGAAGAACTTGAGGTCGCTCGGAGATTGTCGGACCTCGCCAATCATCTTTTCAATCTCCATGGCGTGGGCCATCGTGCCGTTCTTCACCAGCTCGCTGAGGAGGATGTTGCACCTGCCGCATAGGAGAGGCTGAGTTTGAACAGCGAGCCATTGAAGCGCTCCGAGGCTTGCCCTGCAAGCTGCTAGGTCCTGCTTGGACAGTGGAGCCTGTTCATCACGGAGGCGTTCAGCAGGAATCTCGACATCGGTGAGCATGTCGATGTCGTACTGCTGGTTCACGGTGATCACCTGATCACCATCGCCATCCAGGGTGACCTTCACATCAGTGCCAGCATGACGGTGCTCGTCACATTTGGCCGTTCGCCACTGGTACGCCTGGTCGATCTTGGCGCACACGGAGGACCATTCAGCGCTAGCTGGATCACCAATTCTGTGGAAGTCGTCCACGTGTGCTCCCATCATGCCGATGATCTTGGGGTGGCCAGCCTCGTCTTTCTCGGTGGAGCTTGCCCATAGCCACAAACACCTTTCTCCCATGGCCGGTCGGCCACCAAGTGAGCAGAGGGTGCGATGCAGATCAAGCCATAGGCCTCTTGGAGCCGTGGTGCTACCGTAGATGTTCTTGAGGATCTTCATGATGCCTTCGGGCCCGACTTGTAGAGCTTCACGAAGCTCAGCAACGCCACTTGTCCACATCTCTTCATCAGCCGATGTGGGCTTGGTCTGAAGAAAGGCTGTTGCCAGGTCCAATCCTTCCAACTTCCAGCCATGTTGGCATGTGATCTGATAGAGAAGGTTCCTGGCGATGACCGACTGCACAGGGGAGCTTGTCTTGTAGGAGGTGGAGCCAAGTTCGGGATGTTCATAGCCCAGGAGCACAATGCGAGCTTTTGCCTTTTTGTCACCCTCCTTGGTGTGCACAGTTGACGGATTGGTCATTCCATCTTGACGAGCAGCTGCACGATCTTCAGGAGGGATCAACTTCCATGTGAGAACCCACCTGGCTCGGAGAATTCTGCCAGAGCTGGGGGCTGACTTGGTCTCCACATCATTCATGCTCTTGCGGACTGCCTGGTTCTGGATGAAGCTGTTGACTTCCTTGGTCTTCGCCCGGGTGAAGAGGGCGCGATGCTCAGCAGAGAGCTTGCTAAAGATCACTTCAGAATCTCGCATCTTCTTGACCAAGAAGGCGGTCGGGCTGCGAAGAAACAACTTTTGTTGCCGGTTTGAGGTGAAGTTGAGCTCAAACTCCATGGTCATCACGTCGGGGTTGTCGTCCAAAATGGTTTCAAAACATTCCCAACTTCGGTCTTCCTCCACGATCAGGTTGTTGAGCCACTTGGCATCGTTGTTGTTGGCCAGCTGCCTGGAGGAAGCATTGAAGAGATCGGAGTCATCGTGATCTGTCTTCCTGCGTTTCTCATCAAGGGCACGATCGATGAAGGTTCCTCTGTTGGAACTGGAGGTCCAGTAGAAGGTGCGCTGCCAGTGCCGTCGTCATTCACCACCTCGATGGAGGGATCAGGAGGTGCCGGTTCATCCGGTATGGAAGGCTCATATTCTCCCGTGTCTTCCAGCTCTTGTAGTCGGCGGCGAACTGCTGCCGGAACCATGCCAGAAGAAGGAACACGCTGCTTGAAGCCAGCTCTTCGAAGTGGTAGCAGAGCTTGATCAGGATCGGGTTGATCTGGTAGATCAGGTTCTTCTTGTTCATGTTCTCCTGGTACTTGGTCAGTGAGGTCAGTGAAGTCTCGCTGAGGGAGAAGATCAGCAATCGAACGCCATTGAGTTGGATCGTCCTTGTTGGCGATCTCATAGGCCATCTATTCAGTCGTGGTGACTGGACGAACGGAGTGTACACTGCACCTCATCAGCCGAGTTCCAATCAGAACCCAGACAATGTGTCGTCGTTCATCTTCATGATCTTGATGAGGTAGGACTTCATGGAAGATCACTCTGCCTGGTCTGGTTTTGT